GGAAGGTTTACCGGGCAGGGGTTTCCCGCCACTGCGCTTGAGCTTCTTTCTGCACAGGGCAGCGAGGTCGTGGAGCTGGAGGTAGCTGGCTGCGGTTAAGAGGGCACTGAAATTCTGCTCGCTGCCCTGGTCCGATGAGGAGAGCAGCTTCCCGGTATAGATGAAGTCCAACACTTGCCTGAACACGGAGGGGTTGACCATCTCCGTGTCAAGATTAATGAGGTTATCGTGGAGGACCAAAGACTTGAAATAGATGCTGCTCGCCGCCAGGATGTTCTTGTGGGCACGGAAGAGGGCATTCTCCACCACGATGATGACGTCACACAGGAAGCCCTTGGCTCTCTGTTGGTTGAGTTGCAGCAGCAGTTGTTTGGCATGATTTGGCAGTTCCATTTCCACCTTCCTTCTTTCCTTGCGTCTCGCTCGCTCTCTTCCTACACCAACGCCACCTGAACCTGGAAAGAACAAAAACAAAAGAAAAACGGCGGTGAGTTTGGGGGTTCGGGTAGCCACTCGCCACACACTTGAAGGCAAAGGAAAAAGTGCCAGAAAGGTTCTCGATGAAGAGCAGACCAATCGGGCACAATATTGCAATTCCGCGGTTAACGGTCAACCACTCACGCAAGGTTTATCACGTGAATTCTCTTCTTTCCTTGGCTCATGCCTCACCCCTCCATCAAATTGCCTTTTGTGCAATCCAACAAACATTGAAACGGCACTCGAACCTCTCGGAGGTGAAAAGAGAGCCGGCGCCTTTGAACTGACAATAAACCACAACGTGTGACTGCCGTTCCTGTGAGTGCATCCATATAAGCTCCAAGTTCTCGCAGGGACGTTGGCCAAATGTGGCACATAATCAACATGTCAGCTTGGAAACAAGAAACCTTCTGCCCCCCCCCCCTCGCGTCTTGCATTTAAAACAAATTGCGAGCCTGCATAGATTAGATACATTTTGCCACTGTTCTGGCACAAAGGCCAAACGGGTGGAGAAAAAGAAAGGATAAAAGGAATGACTTTCCTTAAAAGGTGCCTCCTTTTGACTTCTCGTCACTCCCTCGGTCAAGATAACTCTGGTTTCAGTGAGATGCCCTTCTTGGAAACTCGTCTCACCCTACCCTCCATTAGGTCATGGTAATGTCAGCTCTGCCCCATTGTCTGGGGGTGCGGGACAAGGAAGGGCCGGGGGGGGAAGGATTAGGTGACACTTGAGCAGGTAAAACTACACAGGAGCTCGGGCAGAGAAGGGGGTGGAGGGCGTGGCTCAAAGACAAGTACGGCACCACCCGAACCTCCAGGGAGGAATTAGGACAACTCGTTCGCTTTCAACCTACAAAACAGTCAGGATCGTCTCGAGCGAAGGGATGGACAAAAATGCAAATGTATCAAATACAATAAAAGACAAACAGATAACATGGCGTCATGTGTATCTAACACATTGTACCAGTCTTACTATTTTTTTTTAAAATGAAAACATGAAAACACTTGACGATCAACACATCATTTTTACTTGTCACTCAGTAATAACTTTAATTGCATCTCTTAATCATGAGTTAGGTAACTAACCACATCAATGACAACCGATGAGGTATAGGAATCCAGATCTGAATGATGTTTCAGAAATCTCTCAACTATTACATTGGCGTGGATGCAATCTTGGCCTGCGTTGATGCCGGCTGAACTCGCATCATATGACGCCGTGTTCGACGCCGGGCCGGCGACACAGCTTGTTGAGTATTGTTAAAAACAGTCAAGTGTTCTGCTCGTAAGTCATCTCTTTATTGTTATTGCATTAAGGCACCCCCAAAAAGTTATTTTATTCATTATAAATATTTTTAATTGGTTCAAATCGGTCATCGGAATTTTATTTCGTCTTGCCATTATCACAATCTGCATAAAGAAATCCATATCGGTCCAACCCTCGTTATTCAAAAAGTATTATACTTGAGTGAAACTTTTACCAATGCTTTTTTGCTTGCTCTCAGCGAGTACTAAAAATATGAAAAAAAAAAAAAAAAGGTAATCTGTGAATCCCAAATATGTGTAACTAGTGAGTCATGAGTAGAATTGAACAAAGTCAGTGTCATGCAGTGGACTAATCAGCTGGAGGTGAAGCAACAGTCTCGGCCCCTGACTTATATGTTTTCTGAAGGCCCGGGCATTCGGGTAATATGGACGCACATCATGAATGCCCCTCAGAACACTTTGTACTGCATTACAAGAGATTATACAGCGCTGCTAGTGCTTACCTCAATAAGCATATACTGTACATGAGCGTATGAGCCAGGTCAGCACAGTGCCAACCGAGCGATTTAATGGTGACGTGTCACAGTGTTTCTAAACTGCCAAGAAAATGCAATTCACTCTTCACGGGTTTACTATTATCATTGATGTTGAAATTGATTGTCAAATTTGATAAGCCGATTTTTTTTTCCAATATGGCAGTCGTGATCAATTCGACTGTAGCAAAAAGCGCGGGCCAGGAGAAAAGACCGCACAAAAGGCAACGTGCAAAGTTTGTGGTTCATTTCACATTGAAAAAAGATAAAGTGCGATATGTCTACCGCAAAGCCAAACAGCAGTTTTATGAGCCAACACAGTTATATCAACATCATTAATTAATTGAATATAGCGAATAATCATCGCTAGTTTTAATAAACTGTCACGCCCGAACAAGCGGTCAAGGGTTGACACTACTGCCGACGGTAACAAAACAACCACATTCAAATATCAGCTAATACGGCCACAACTGGCGGCCTCTGGGACTCAACACACACACACACACTAGGGGACAACCAGAACCCACAACTCTCAACAACACACAAACACTCCGTTAGCGCAGGATTGGAACAAAAGTCCACTGTAGCAGGAATTGATATCTGGAGGTGTCTGGCTCTGTTAGAACGGTTGGTCTGGCTGATAGAAATCAGCTGAAGTGATCATTATAGTCCAGGTCCAGGCCTGGGCTTGCCTCCTCTGCTTTGACACTTCAACTCATGGTCTTCATCCCTTCCCCCCCCATCTCTAGGCTGCCTCTCTCTCTCTCTCTCTCATCTGACTTCCCTACCTTCATGGATCTCTCAGCAGGCAGAACGAGTTCAACCACCCCCCAACATGTACTGCATCAAAACGAGCCATTGATGAAAATACAGTATAACCCAGATCTGCAATTAAATCTGTCTCAGGCGCTACCTGGGGGTACGGCAATGACCTCTACAGGCGATAACGGAAGAAAGAAAGACCTGTTTTCCATGATGCCAACCGGAATATCGTACATCACTGAAGCATCTTGTCTAACGCTTACGTTCATGCTTACATCTCCGCAGGTTTTCTGGGTGAGGGCACCAAGAGGCTTTTCCAACAAACAGACAAAAACGGTGGCGGGAACCAGCATACAGAAGACAGCCCGGGAAGGGGAGGAAAAAAAAAACTTCCCCCACCCCCCTCATTTTCTCATCCCTCCATCTCCCCCCAACCTCATCACCCACATGGCTACCAGCTCCCCCTGGCCCCTCCGGTGCTGTGCTCTGCCGGCTGGATTCCAGGGAGCTGCTAATGGATTACGGCTGATCTATATGCAGCGAGGGTGGGACACGTGTAGGCCTACCTCCTCTTCCTTTGGTGATGCCCAACAGGCTTAATACGACAGGGGGGTGGGGGTTGCCAATGGACCTGCACCATCATTACTGCTCCATCTGTGGGCCTGTTTTTCCTTTTTTTTCTTGATGTACTATAAACTCCGGGATGCATCAAGCAGTGACTGAAACGCTGTACCTAGATTACGAACCACAATTGGGTACGGTTGCATAATTGGTGGTGAGTTTCCAACAGGGTTAATTCCTGCATTTTCTAATCCCTCAGCGAAAAAGGTATGATGTGTCCTGGCAGAGAAGCTGACAGATGTCAAGATAGCTGGGCAGGAGAGCCTAAAGGAATTATTGACCCTTAAGAAACAAGGCGTGCTCTGACCAAACACAGCCCCACATACCAAGTGAAGCCAGCTCAGGGGGGGCTTTGAGTGCAGACCAGGGTAGACGTCGCCCTTCAAGCCAGAGGATCAGTTTACCTTGCCTGCAGTTTTGACCTTTTCAAAAACAGGCTGCGACTTAATGATAGAGGGGCAGCCTCACTCTGAAAACTCTAAAGCACCCCGCTGCTTAGCATCAACCTTGACTTCTTTCGGGTATCTTCTCTTAAGGGGCAGCCTCACTCTGAAAACTCTCAAGCACCCCGCTGCTTCGCATCAACCTTGACTTCTTTCGGGTATCTTCTCTTAGGTTGACAGGGGTGTGTGCCCAGACTTGAAAGACATGATAAGAAGAAGGGAAGAAAAAAAA